CAGCATCTGCAGTTCCTACTATCTCTGAACTGATGGACATGCCCTCTGCTGCTTTGGCATTAAGCTACCAAATCACTCCCTACACTGTTCCATTTATTTCCTCTCCCGTTTGAGGGGATCCTTAACACCTACTTCACGTATCTAAGCTTTTATTAATTTGCCTTATGTCTCTAGCACCTTGGGATTGAATTTTAACAGAAAGCTCTACTGAAGTACCTAGGGATATTTATTTTTCATCAAAGGCACTATATAAAGGTACTTTGAAGGCAAAGTAGGTAGCATAATTACCAATTGACCTAATTAGCTCAACTCTTTCATATATTCAGACACAACTAAATTAAAATAAGTAGCGGTCTTACCTCCACCCTCAGCTTTTCGTAAAGGACAGCTAGATGTTCCTCCATACTGGGTTCCCTCTTGTGAGAACTCGCACTTGCAAGGTTACCAGTGCCACTGAAAGCAGCCAATGCTCCAAGTGGTTGTGCAGGAATTGTCAGGTGCTCAAAACCCAAGTGGTATGGCATCGGACAGTACTCACTGTCAAACAGTGACCTCACAGAGTCCAGGTGCCCCTCGTGCACATCCCAAAGGTTCGCTGTGGTCTCAGAGGGTTCATCTGGTTGGGGAAGTCGCACACTTGCAAGGGGCATTCCAGTTCCCTCAGGCTTCCCTGCCAGTGATTTTGGGACACACTCGTCCACCAGTTCTTTCACCACTGCCCTCCTGTCAGAATTAGAGGAGACATGCTGCTCTACTGCAATATCATCTGCGTTGCGCCCATCAACGGTCGTGATTGAATCCAAGATGCCTTCGAGCTGGGCCAGTAGAAGTGCACCTGCTCGCTCAGCAGGCACACTTTCCAGCCTGGAGGCCACCAGCTGCTGCAAATGCACCGACCTGGAGCAGGGCACCTCCAGCAGGGCAGTCTGCTCCTTTCCCCGGCCACTCACAACCAGCTGCATACTGACCTTCTCGTCCAGGATACAGATGAGGGATTGCAGGCGTATGTCACTTGGGAGTGACTTTCCACTGCAGGCACTGTGCAAGAGACCATACATGGGTACCTGGGCCCGTTCCAAATCCGGAAAATGGTTTGGCCCAAAGTTAAGGCTATGGGCACCCGCCGTATGCAGTGCGACACCTGGCCGTCTCTTGGTCTGGTACTGAACTTGCGCAGCAGCCTGTGTGGCCCACGCTGAGCTGCTAATCCGCCGGGAGGACCTGCCATTGCACACCTCGAGCTTCTGAGAAGTGAGAGAGAAAAACACAAAGGCTTAGTCACAACAACGATATGTTGCGAGTAGTTTCTGACTCCTGACGTCAACACAGAGCATCATGCACACAATGCTCGTCCTAGTGTTGCAGAAAAAAACAAGGTATAGAAGGATGGAATCAGATGATACCAAGACAGGACCTCACAAAACAAAATCCGGACCCCAAAATCCCATCTGGTGTCATAGGGTCTGAGGCAGCAACGGCTGACAAGGAGCTCCAATTGAGTATTAACAGTTGTGAAGCCCCTTCAAATCTTAGCCACACAACTAACTGATCTTTGAAGCCCTATACCTGCTCCAAAAAGAAAAAGCCAGTGAAATGGTAGGTTTTTAAAAATTTCTCAAGTTTAAAAGCTCCAACTGTCCCATTGCCCTCAGTTTCCTTACAATAGCCGCAAAAACCAAACTGGGATCATGGCAATTTTCAAACCTTAAGGTGGTTCACAGTGGTAGGTAGTTTGGAAGCACCTATGATTTTTATCCAACCATGTTCTGTGCCAGCAGGTTTTACATATTGACATGGAATGTACAAGACGTCTCCTTTCCGAGATAAAGGAGAGAGAGATTAGAAACTGGATCAGAAGCAGCTGTTTGAGCATCTAAGAAAACTGGCTAAGATCAATCGAATGGTGGTGGCTGAGGGTAGTGAGCAGATGAAGATCAGATATATTTCATTGATCAGCTACCAAGATCATCTGTTCATTGCAGTCTTTTCACATCAGCAGCTTATCATTATAATCAGTGACCTATTCAAAACAGAGACTTCATCAAGTTGTATTTGTCTATTCACAAGTGCAATTGGGCATTTTGAATTGACTGACCCAAGGCCGTCAGGAATAGGCAGTGACAGCCTGTGGACTTGCCGACTGGAGCAGCAATTTGTCTTGAATCTAACTCAGTCACAACAAGTACCAAAAGGCAATTTTAAAATAAAGAAACAATTTACTGGCTGACATAAAAAAAAATGACCATGTATGCTGTTTGATTGTCAAAAAATATGTCACGAGTTTACTAGTCACTTTTTCTTGCCATTTCTTGTCTGATTTAACCTTCACATGAACCTAGCCTCATGAGCCTATTTGACTTCCTGGCAATAAAGCATTGCCTTATCAACGTTTAAAAAAATCTGCTTGGTTGACAAACAACTCCTCTATCCAGTTAGTAATAAATCCAATAAAGAATTCGTGAGACTTCTCTATCAGCTTGTATTCTCTGGAGTTTAGAAGTGGGCTCTTTTTGCAACAAGTACAATTCTTTAGGAGCTTAACAATGCTAGACATTGTGAACGTACATCACATGGGTGAAAAGTCTAGCACTGGGCAAAGTTTCAGGATAAGGGATGACAATTAGGACTGAGACGAGAAGAAATTTTTCCACTCCCGAGGGTTGAGTGTCTCAGAAATTCTCCACCCCAGAGAACTGTGCAAGTTCAGTTGTTGATTATGTCAAGACAGACATTAATAAACTACGCTGAACACTGAGAATTAAGGGATATAGTGGAATAGCAGAGTTGAGTTAATCAGCCACAATCATATTGAAAGTGGTTTTGGCTCAAATAGCTCTACAACCTACTCCTATATTTTTACAGGGAGGTAGTGCGCTAGTAATAATGTTACTGGACGAATAATCTAGAGGATAAAACAGAAAATGCTGGAGAAACTCAGCAGGTCTGGCAGAGTTGTGGAGAAACAAACAGCAAACATTCTGAATAATTGTAGTAATTCTCCCCACTGCTTGAACAAAGTGTGCAAACAGCACTTGCAATGAATGTTAGATAACTTGCTTTAAAAAGGTTCAGTAATACTTCACGCAACCCTGGATTTTCAAAACAGTCCTTATCCAGTCCCAAAACAGAAAAATAAAAAGATATCGCCTTTACAAGATGGCCAATAAATGCTGACCTAAGCAGCAATGCCTACATCTCATAACTGACTATTAAAAATACATGATGTTTCACGGACTATTAAGGATGGACAATACCAGAAATGCTCGTATCCCCTGAACAAATAAACAGAATGTAAGATACAGGAACAGCCAGTGGCCACCAGGACCTCAAGCCTGTTCCAATCACGAAATGGTCTTAATCCCACTTCCGTACATGTCTGTCTGTGCTCCCACTTCACCATAACCCTTGACCCCTTGTAAACCTCAGGCAACATAGGAAAATTGGAATACGAGGGTAACCCCGAACTTTGCACGTGTGGATTATGCCTGACTTGTGTTTAGTCTGATTTGAGATGTTACTCAACCAAAATCAAGAGCTTCTAATATGAAACAATTCAACCTTATAACAGTCTGCAATAATTGCTGGCACTTTAAGCTTTCCTCTTCACCACTGTCGCCACACTTTGCAATGACTCATAAAAATGATCAATATAATTCGTCTTTAAAACAAAACCCACTTGATTGCAACCCATTCTTTGCCACAGTTACAATAATGTGAAGTGTCTTCCCAACAGTCTGCCTTGTCCTTGCTATTAAAAGCTTGCCTTTCCTAACCTCTGTGTCATAGCTTTCTTCCCTACCCTTTTCAACATTGATGACGTACTGCACTGGTGGGGTCACCCTTTCACTTAATTTGCCCAGTTCAGAGAAATCCCTTGTTGAGCTCTGAAGTATGATATTCTAATGAAAGAAGTTTGAGAATGGGAATGGCAAATACGTCATGTCCCTGACCAAACTGTTCCTCAGGACATCCTAAAATACTGAGATAAGAAATAACCTTTTTGAAAAATTAGGACAAATCTTGCCCAAGTCGCGACTTTATTGAACAGTGGAACAGATCTGAGAAGTCGAATGAATTAGGGGCGGGAGCAGGTCATATGTGTTTATGATACCAGCAGACATTTAGTTGTGTTTTTTTTCAAACTGATGCCATAGGACCTCTTACTCCCACTCGAGTGCGCAGACGCCATCCTTGTTTAACATCATCCAAAAGACAGCACCTCCAACAGCAGTGCACTCTTCGGGTTCCGGCACAGCAAAACGTCAATTTAGACTTCATGCCCAAGAGCAGGAATGGGACTTGAGATCACCAGTTTCTAACTCAAAGGATGAAGGAAGTTATTCCGCTGACAGGTAACACACAACTAATGGACTACATTATGGCATGCACTTATGACCCTCAGAATTTTACTAGCTTACCTGCTTATGGCAGAGAGGCAAGGTACTCCGTCTCCAGGTCAAATAGTAGTAGCAGTCATTGCCCCGTGTCCTCGGAAGATTCCCACAGCAGAGTCGCCGCTGCCTGAGTCCAAATGTTGCCAGGCCTCTGGCTGCACTCTGCCTGCAGCTCACAGCAGCTGCCATGCATGCATACGGCCCAACGCCACTGTGATGTACAAAATCCCGTTACTCCAACTCTCCTGAACAAAGCACCTCACTTTCTTCAGACTGCTAGCAAACAAAAATAAAATCCCACAAGATCCTACTATACACACAAATAAACAGACACGTTGGAAGCCTCTTTATTTCTTTCACTACCAACACACATGACTTATTAAAAATCTCATCAACGTACCAGTTTCCTTAAGCTATTTTTTATCCCCCAGGTATCACAACATATTGTAGCGTTTAGGTAGCTCCAACTCCAGTTCTACCACACTCCCTAGAATAAGCCTGCTCCAATTTCCACAACAAGCCTCAACAGGCAAAGCCACAGTTGTACCAGTCCTCCCAGGAGCAATAGACTCAGATTGACCATTCCCCCGAGGAGTAACAGGCCCAGCTCTAAAGCAATCACCAATAATCCTGGCCCAAGTCCTAGCAATGCTCCCAAAGGTCGCAATACCAATTCTATGAATAACTCCATAGTAAACGCCCTGCCACTTTAACCCCACCCTGAATATACCAGACACAATTGCCCCACCTCAGCTCTATCACAGTCCTCATAACTCCCCATCTATGATAGCTGCAGTAGCCCCCACCCCAGCTCCACTCCAGCCACCCCACCCCAGCCCCCCCCACCCCCCCCCCCCCCCCACCAACCCCACCCCAGCCCCAACAGCCCCAGCCCCAACAGCCCCAGCCCCAGCCACCCCACCCCAGCCCCAACAGCCCCAGCCACCCCACCCCAGCCCC